TGTAAGTTTCGGGCTGGCCCCGCCCCGCCCCGCCTGGGTCCTACCCTCTGGTCTTCCATGGCTGCACCCCGGACGCCCTCGCCCAGCCCGGCCCGGCCTGCGGGCCCCGCTCGCTCTTCTGGTCTCGGAGCTGCCTTTGCCGCTGCTGGGAGCCAATGGCCCGCCGAGCCCTCGCCGCCGCCGCCGCCGCGCCCCCAGTCAGCGCTCCATCACTGCGCGCAGTGCGCAGGCGCGCCCGCCGCGGCAGCCTGGGAAATGTAGTTCCGCGCGAAGCCTGGGGCGCACCAGGTGGCGTTGGTAGGGGTGGCTGAGCTGGAGAGAACCCGGGCTGGGAGGTGAGATGCCAGTGTTGGAGCTCTGGCCCTGCTCTGTGACCTGGGGACCATTCCTGACTCACCAGGAGTCTCGGTCTTCCCGTTGTTCACCCCCCACCCCCAACCTCTTACTGCCGCTCACACTGGCATTCTGGGTCCTCCAAGATCTGGCCTTGACCGCTCACACGCCTGGCATTATTGAAAAGCCAAGGCTTTGGCCCAAGAGGGTCTTCAGCCTCCAATGTGTTCTTCCCCCACCCCACTTCACAACCCAACTCCTACACATCCCACAAAGCCCCAGGCTCTAACAGCTCCTCCTCCAGAACTTGGACGCCAGGGCAGAATTCACAGGACTAGGAATGTCTGTGTCCAGCGCTGTCTTCCCCATGGGCAGTGTTTGAGCAAGGGTGATACCGTCAGATCTGGGGGACCAGTGGGAGAAGTTGAGAATGGGTAGCTGTGTGTCAGGACAGGAAAAGACTGAGCCAAATGTGGGGCCATGGCAATGGAGAGGGTGGTATCTGTGTGGCCGAGAGCTGGCCATGTCATACAGCCCATCTCTAAACCTTACAGGAGCTGAGCAAGCTAGACCTGTTCCACAGATGAGATCACTGAGGTGCCCCAGCTCCATCAGACTGGCAGGGCCTGGGGCTGACTATCCCGGATCTCCAGCATTGCTCCTCAGCCAAGGGTGGGGAAGGGGAGGGACTGGGAGCTTCAAAAAGGCAGAAAAAGGGGGAAGGTTTGGGCAGGGGGAGGCTGGGAGGCTGTTCGTGTCTAGCCGGGGAGGCAGCGTGCCTCTGCAGGGTGCCTCCTTGTGGCTGATGGGAACAATTCTTTGAAGGCTGCAGGCATCTCAGTTCTGGGTAAGAAAAGAGGTCATACTGTGGTTGGGGGTGAGACATTGAGGCCTCTGGTCTGCCACCCCCTCCAGGGGGCACTTCCTGTTGCAGGGCGAAGGGTGCAGGGCTGGGAGGAACTCTAGAGCCTATGCACCCCCTCAACTGGCCCCCCAAACTTCTCCCCAGGCCATGGGAGTAGGGACCCCCCCATACCTGTCATGGGACCCAAAGCCATCAGCAGAAACCCATTCCTCTGAACCTCAAAGAAAGACATTTTGGGGGTAAGAAAGGCCGGGATTCTGCCATTCAATCCACCACTATTCAAGCCAGGCCTGTACTCCCTGACCCCCTCCGCACCCTGAGTCCCCTGCCCTGCCAGTGCATGCCCCCAGCGCAGACGTGTTTATATATGATCTTCTAGAAAATTTCCACTCACTGAGACACATCCCCCCTACACACACACACACACACACACACACACACACACACACTGACTTTCAGGCAAAAAACAGTTTGGGGAAACTGAGGCACGAGGTGGCAGGAAGCAGAGTCCCAAGCAGCATCGGCCACCGGACATTGACCTCTGGCCTGGGAGTCATAACAGCCTGGGGGTGGGGTGGGGACTGTGGCAGGAAGTCTGTTGAGTGGGACGGGGAGAGTGCATGCTGGGCGCAGGCTGGGAGACTTGGGGGCTCCATGAGCCAGGGATGGAGTCCCTGAGTGCTGCGCTGATCTTCCTGGTGCATTTCTGGGGTGAGTACTTGGCCCCCGTTCTCCCTTGCACCCTCCTCTTCTCCATCACCGCAGCTGTCTGTCCCTCCCTCTCCAAGCACGCCTAGACCTCATTTGCCAGCCTGTGTCTTTCTGGTACCTGGGGCCTTACGTAGCCTGGAGGAGTCCAGAATGCCCCCCAGTGAGGGCTCCTAGGATAGAATCCAAACCCAACTATGACGTCCATTGCAGTCTTGTGTGAGCTGCCCTGCCAGCCTCTGACCTCCTCCCTTCTCCCTGTTCCTCTGACCTGCTGGCTTTTCTTTCTTTTTGTTCCAACACGCCAGATTGGATCCGACCTCAGGGCCTTTGCACGTGCTGTTCCCACTGCCCGGATCTCATCCTTCTAGCCTCAGCTCAAACTCTGCCTCAAATGCCAGGGACTGGACACAGCGTCCCCTCCTCGGGGTATAACAGGCCTTATTGTGGCCCAAAGCAAACTTTATTTCTAGCCCCAGCCGTGCCTCCCCCCGCCCCACCCCGGGGTTCCCATCTTGCTGGGAGATCTCTGCCATTCTTGTTTCCCTCTCTTCCAATTTAAACCGACTTGTAGTTCTTCTTGGGGCAACCTGCAAAGTCTGTTCCACGCAGTCAGGGTGATCTTCAGACTGAAAGAGAATTGTGTTTTCTCCCCATTCCCCTGGTTTCTCGGCACAGGTTGGTTAAAATGCAAACTTCTCCCGTGCCCTTCGCGCCCTCAGTTGCCTACAAGGCCTTGTATAAACCATCCCCTGCTGACTCCTCTGATGCCATCTCCTCCCACTCTTCCCCTCGCTCACTCTGTTCCAGCCACACAGACCTCCTTGCTGTGCCTCCAACTCGCCAGGCATGGTCTTGCCTCAGGGCCTTTGCACAGGCTGTTCCCTCTGCCGGGGATGCTCTTCCCACTGAGCTCCCCATGGCTGGTTCCTTCCTGACATTCAGATCGGTGCTGCAACGTCACCTCCTCAACAGGTAGATTCTCCCTCACCTCATCACTAGCTTCTGTTCGCTGCCTGTGTGGCTGGGAGCTGGACACGTCACAGAGCCCACCTCTAAGCATCATGAGAGCTGAGCAAGTTAGACCCATTTCACAGAGGGTACCACTGAGCCTCAGGGAGGAAAAGTGACAAGATCACACAGCCAGCAAGGTGGCAAACCCTTCCTGCCTCACCCCTGCAGGCTCACACATTCACCACCCGTGAGCAAGGCCTCACCCACCTCTCCTGTCCCCCAGCCCTACCAGGAATCACAAGCCTGAGCGTGAAGCAGGGACCCACGTCACTGTGGGTGGAGCAGGGCAGCCAGGTGACCATGACCTGCCAGGTGGTCTGTGCCCCGGCCTGGGAGTGGCTCCGAGTCAGGTGGACCAAAGATGGTGAAGTCTAGTGCCAGCTGCATGTCACCAACAAGAGCCTTAGCCTGGGGGTCTGTGGACCCCGGGGATGGCTCTCCTGGAAGCCCCCTGGCAACCTCACCCTGAGGCTGGAGCGCGTGAGCTCCAACAACAGCAGGGACTACGTGTGCTGGGAGGCCATGGAGATTCCTGAGCTGGAGGAGGCCGAGGGCAACGGCACGCAGCTGCTGGTGGAGGCAGGTGTGAGAGCAAACAGGGTGGGGAAGACGTTGGGGACTTGAAATGCCTGGAAGCACGTTGCTGCTGTCATTGTGTGTCATCCAGTCGACTCTGCCTCGTGATGACCCCGTATGTGCAGAGTAGGACTGCTCCATAGAGTTTTCTTGGCTGTAATCTTTACAGAAGCAGATCGCCAGGCATTTCTTCCACAGTGCTGCTGGCTGGGTTCAAACTGCCAACCTTTCTGCTGGTAGTCAAGCCCTTGACCATTTGAGCCACCCAGGGATCCTCTAGAAGCGTAAGATTCTAGGATTGTTGTCGTTAGCTATTGCTGAGTTGGCCCCTGACTCATGGTGACCCCACGCTCAATGGAATGAAACTCTACCTGGTCCTGCACCATCCCTGTGATTGGTTGCAGACTGGACTGTTTTGATCTGTCTTAGTTCTCTAGTGCTGCTGTAACAGAAATGCCACAAGTGGATGGCTTTAACAAACAGAAGGTTATTCTCTCACAGTCTAGGAGGCTAGAAGTCCGAATTCAGGGTGTCAGCTCCAGGGGAAGGCTTTCTCTCTCTGTAGGCTCTGGGGGAAGGTCCTTGTCATCAAACTTCCTTTGGATCTAGGAGTTTCTCAGCACAGGGACCCTGGGTCCAAAGGACACACTTTGCTCCCGGCTGGCTCTTCTTTCTTGGTGTTATGAGGTCCGTCTCCTCTCTGTTGGATTCTCTCTTTTACGTCTCAAAAGAGGTTGACTCAAGACACAATCTAATCCTGTAGTGAGGCCTGCCTCCTTTCCATCATAGAGGTTAAGATTTACAACACGTAGGATAATCACATCAGATCAGGAAATGGAAGACAACCACACAATACTGGGAATCATGGTCTAGCCAAGTTGACATGCATTTTAGGGGGACACAATTCAATCTATAACATGAGCCATAGGGTTTTCATGGACTGATTTTTAGAAGTCAGTCACCAGGTATTTCTTCCTAGTCTGTCTTGGTCTGCAAGCTCCACTGAGACCTGTTCAGCATCCTAGCAGCGTGCAAGCCTCTACTGACAGACAAGTGCTGGCTGTGCATGAGGTGCATCGGCTGGGAATCGAGCCCAGGTCTGCTGCATGGAAGGCGGGAATTCTACAGGGAGCCACCACTGCCCGTATTCTTGAATCGTGAAACCCGTTGTCATCGAGTTGATTCCAACTCATGGCAACCCTATAAGACAGAGCAGAACTGCCCCGTAGGGATTCCTAGGCTGTAATCTTTACAGAAGCCCACTGCCACATCTTTCTCCCGTGGAGCCACTGATGGATTTGAACCGCTGACCTTTCGGTTAGCAGCCAAGCACTTAACCACGGCGCCACCAGGGCTCCTCTCTTGAATCATGGAGACATTAAATTGTAGCTCTTAGAATTAAATCGTGCATTGTCAATGGGAAAGAATGTTGGTTCTTTTGGGGCAAAAATCATCTTACTCTTTTTATGCATAAAATATAGATATGCCCACAGTACGTAAACAGATACACAGTATGTCTATGGTATGAAAATTTCAAGAGGTGCAATTAAGGAGAAAAAATTGTCTTCTTGGGAGGGTGTATTGGTTTCCTGTGGCTGCGTAACAAAGTCCCACAAACTGCGCAGCTTAGAAACAATGGAAGTGTGTTGTCTGTCAGTTCTGGAAGCTAGAAGTCCAAGTTCAGGGTGTCAGCAGGGTCATGCTCCCTCTGAAGGCTCTAGGGGAGGGTCCTT